CCCGCCAGTGCCGCTCTTACGTGGAGGGGAGCCCGTCTTTGCCGTAGGGCTGCAGCAGGTACTGGTGGACGATCTTATCCCGCAGCGTCCCTGCCAGCTTGATTTTCTTCCGGGAGCGATGCAGGTTGATGATGTAGAGGGTGATGGACCCGCGGACATAGTTGTGGCTGCAAGGGGGCAGAGCGAGGGGCACGCGGGAGCTTTCCCTCCAAGAGGGGGGGTCCGTGTGCAAGAACCACCACATTGAGCTGCCGGGGGACACACAGGGCCCCATCCCAGCTTCCCTCCCTGAGGTGCTGCCGCCTACCCCTTGCCCAGCTCTGCAACGAAACCTGGCCCAGCTTGTTGGACCGGGCTGAGAACGAGAGGCACTCGGTGCTCGAGTAGCGTCTGCTCCCCTGGGCGATGGGTCAGGACACGGATCCCTCTGTGGCCGCCTGGGCGGACAGACCCAAACAAAGGCTGCAAAGCTCTTTGCACCTGTCAGTTCCTGGACAAGGTTTCCTACCGAGCTGGAGGCATGTTGAAAGCATCTGGACTGTGTAAAGAAACAGCCTCTCCTCCTCCACAATAGCAACTTGTGTCCGTGGAGGAGGTGGCCGCCCCCCCCGCCTCGCAGGGCCGCTTTCAAAGACCTTATCAGCGAAACAATAACCAGGCCGGGCTGCCCGGCGGGGCATGGCGGGTAACCCGACCGAGCGGGGCCCGCTGAAATCCACTCCCTTGATGTCGGCTCCGGGCCCTGCCGCGGCCACCCGCGCCCGTTCCCAGGCACCGGCTCTGCGCCCCTGTCATCGGAGGCGCCGGGGCCGTTCCCCTGGGAAGCAGAGCTTCCCCGCGGGACCCTCGTGACTCACTTGTGGTAGCTGGTGCAGTGGGCGTAGATGCGGAGCTTGTCGCGGATGACCCTGCCGGGCCGGGGCTTCCGCTGCAGGCCGGCCACGTGGATCGCCAGCACCTTGGGGCCGATGAGGCGCTTGTAGAGGAGGGACAGCCAGTAGTCCTGCGGGCAGAGGGGACCATCAGCAGCGCCACCCAGCCCACCACCAGCCGCAGAGACGGGCTTCACCGCTTGCAACTTGGTGAAACTTTGGCTTTTGGGGTGAAAATTTCCCCTGATGGATTTTTGCCTTAGGCTGAGGTTTTTTCTTTGTGTGTGTGTGGTTTGAGCCCAGGTGGCATTGCCGTTTCCAGGAAAGAGATTAAGAAAAAGGAACATTGCTTTGTCCATGCTGATAGACATCAGCATCCTCTGAAGGAGCTTTTGCAACCTCCTTCTGGATGGGCTGTGGGAAAGCAGCACAGGTGCCTCCTCTGGTTCCCATGAGCCTGTATGTGCAGACTACAGCCTTCTGCACCCTCTCAACTGACACTGACGATGATGGTCTCCAAAAGCTGTGCCTTCACCAAGCACACAGGTCTCCCTCCACTACACTATTTCGCCTGAGGCTGAAGCACACCAGAGCTCTCCCGGGCTCTCCAACTTGGTTCGCAGCATGTGGGTCTTGCTGACAGCTCTGTGGAGCAGCCACA